CACAGAGTGCTTGGATCTGTCCTGGTGGGCTTGCCAGGCCTCGTTCATGGAGGCAGCCCTCCTCTCCATCACCAGGAGCTGGGGAATCTGTTGGGGTCTAGCTGTTGGCAGGAGGCAAGCGGTTCTGCCCAGAGGGCGAGTGTGACTCTCACCTCCGCGACAGCCAGTGGGCCCCGCGCTCCTTCCCTCACTTCCCAAGCCCTTGGTTCTGAGCCATTCTTTCAAGGGCCCTTCTGGCCTCACCCGCACTGTCAGGTCCCAGAAGGATCAGCGACACATCGCACTCCCTGACATTCAGAGGAGACCTGATTCGCCCCGTCTGGTTTTGGTTCTCCCCCCCAGGCCTGCCTCAGGACACAGAGCCGGAGGGTCCTGTGTCCCTTGGCCCTGCCGCTGTGGCGCGAGGGAGGGGTTGGGGGTGCTTCTGTCTCCTCACACCGGCAGCCCGGAAATCCGACCCCCCACCCAGCTGGGGTGGGGTCCTGTCCACCCCGTTCCAAACGCGCACCGAGGTTCTTTCCACCAGAGGCACAAACAGGACGTCGGGGGGCTCCAGCGGAGGCGGTGGGGGGGAGCCCAGAGAGGGGCGTGGGACGGCCGATGGGGAGTCTGAAGAGCCGGGGGCTCCGGGCAAAGGCTACGGGGCAAAGAGCGGGGGAGGGGTGGAGAAGGAAGGGGAGGGGCCGCCCGGTGGGCGATCGGAGGTCGCCGTGCGCCGTGCGGCGGGCGGGGGGGGGGGGGGGGGGGGCGGGCCGCGGGGCTGCGGCTTCCATTTTCCCCGGAGCTTGGGGCGGCCGCGCGGGGCCGAAAGGGGAGCGGCGGGGCGGCCGTGGACCCGCCTGCCCCTCCTAAAGGGGTGGGCGTGGAGAAGGGGTCCTGGACGCGGCAGACCGCCCTCGGCCGAGCGTCCGGGTTGGCCCTGGAGGCGCGCGGGGCGGGGCGGGGCGGAGGCGTCCGGGCGGCCGGACACGGGCTCCGGCGCGCGGGCGGACGGCTCGGGTCCGGGAAGGTCCCGTCGCGGAAACGGGGGCTTAGGCGTGAGTCGGGGGCGGGGCTGCCAGGGCCCGGGAGGGACTCCGCCGGGGGCGCCCCCTCTCCGCGGCGAGCACGTGCGGGGTTCGGGGGGAGGTCAGCGGCCCGAGCCGAGGCCACCCCGCGGGAGATCGCGACCCCGCGGAAAGCGGCGGACGCGGGGCGCGGGGGGCAGGGCCTGCGGCCCGAGTGCGGAAGCGGCCGGCGGGGCTCGGCGGGAGCGACCCAGACGGCGGCGGGGAGGGGAGACCCCGGCGGACACGAGCCCCAGCCCCCGGGCGAAGGGAGGGGGCCCTGAGCCCAGGGTGGTGCTGGCGGCCGCGGTGGGGGTCGGCTGGGGGGTGTGGGCGGGAGGGCGCCCCGACGGAGGACCCCCCGGCAGGCTGCGGGATGGGAAAGGAGGAAACCGCGCGCGCTAAGGCGGCGCGGGGCCGGGGCGGCTGCGCTGACCCCCGGCGTCTCCCCCGCGAGTGTGAGCGCGCGACGCACTCGTGCCCGCGGAGGTTCTCAGGCGGCCCGAGCGGCCCGAGCGGTCTGGGAGGGTGACTGACCGTCGTCCGGCTGGCGCGGCCCCCACGCCCCCTGCGTGGGTCACACCGGCACACGCTGCGGGCACCCGCGGGGTCCGGTGGACCGACTGGCTGGCGCAGACGCATCGCGGTCCCTCCTCTGACCTTTCACGGGCCGGGGTCTGCGCCTGCTCCATCCCGCCGCGCCCGCCGGACTCCGACTTCACCCCCTGCCCGGCCTGAGAGGCTCGGAAGGCGGGGTTGGGGGTGTTAATCCCGGCCAGGCCCGAGGGGCCTTTGATCCCGCAGGGCAGGGCGGGCGCAGAGGCCGGCGGTCCCGCCCAGGCTGGCGCCGGCGCCCCCAGGAGTCGGGGGTGGGCTGGAGCCACCACACCCGCTGGGGTGGGGGGGTGGCACTCGCCCCGGAGGCCGCTCTTGCCGGTCCTTGGGGTCGCGTCCTGAAGAAAGAGGTGGTGGCCATCTGAGGACGTGGGAGGGGTGCATGACCCCAAAGGGACTCTTCCCTGGAGCCCCACACAGCTCATTCATGAATGAGGACGCTGTACCCTTTGGGCTTGGGGCTCCAGCTTCCCCTGGCGGCTCTGGGCCTGTGCTGACCACAGTGGGGGCAGCCTTTGGGAGGGGGAAGACATTGGTTTTTCAGTCCTTCCTGCTGGGGTCCTTCTGGAGCAGCACAGAGGAGTCCATACTCCCAGTGAGCAGACACCCACCTTCTGTCCCTGGAATCCAGCTCTGTGGCACCAGAGTGAAGTCGAGGCCAAGGAGTAGGGTTGTGGGGGGCCACGACGTATAATCTGAGAGGGAGTGGCCAGTTGGAGCCCCAGGGACTCCTTGTCTGGTTGAAGTTCTCATCCAGGAATGCCTGATCTCCAACCCTGCTGGACATCTGCCCTGGGACCCCCTCCCCCGCCCGCTCGGTCCTAGGAACACTAATGTGGACTCCCCCGACTTGAAGCAGGTGTGCACACCTGTCGTCTTCGGCACCGCAGATCTCCACGGCGTGGGAGACGAGGTGGCTCCGCATCCCGCAGAGGACAGGCCTGCAGCGTGGGTGCTCAGCTGGGAGGGACCAGCCCAGGTGGGGGTTGGGGGAGTTGGGAGGATGTGACCAGTGCTCCACCAGGTCGGCTAACTGGTGGCCACAGCCCCGCCCCTCTCCAGACATCTTGGAGCCAGGGGAGGTGTGAATGGCCTCCTTTGTGCCTCTGAATTGCAGGCAATTAGGTGTTACTTATCTGGGGGTGGGGGGAGGACTTAAGCCATATACGCCTACCAGCCTCGCGAGCTCCCTCCTCCTGAGCTTATAAATGCCACTCAGCTCTGCTGAACCTGCTGAGGACCCTGTGCCTAACCCTCGTCCGTCATCTATTCTGGGAACGTTGCGGCTGGCCCCACAGCCATGTCTCCCTCCGCCGCCCTACCCAGTGGCCCCAAGCCATCCAGGTTTGGCTCCGTGGACTGGCTTTCCCAGAGCAGCCGTGTGGGGCCATCACACACCTGCAGGCCTGCTGAAGTCTCTTGGAGAAGCCTCTCTGCTCCAGCCAGGGTATCCAGCAGCAGGGAGTTCCCTCAGACTGGGGGCACGGAGGAGAAGCCCTCAGAAGTGTCTTCGCAGGGGACGCCCACGGCTGGTAGGTGTGGGGATGGGCGGGAGGTTGCTGCCTTCCCAGACTGGGACGGGAGCCAGGGAGGGTTCAGGGGGAGGCCTTTGGAGGTGGGGACATTCTTACAAGGGCTGGGGATGGAGGTTCCATCTAACCCCTCTGGCAGGCAGAGAACTTGCTCTGGGAAGCAAAAGCCACAGTGGAGTTTTTTTCTCCTCAAGTCCCTTGGGGGTTCCTCTTCCCCTCCCACCTCTTCTGGCTCTGGCGGGGGGGACCACCACATCCTTGCGGCAGCTCCCCACTGGGAGCTGGGACTCCCGACATTCGCCCTTGTGGCTGGCTCCAGTTCTGCAGTATGTCCTTGGAGCCCATTTCTGCAGGAGTCACAGGGCTCTGGACACGTGTGTCTTAACGCTTGTGAATGCTGTCCTGTTCAGGGGTCGTTGTGGATCTTCCCTCAAAGCTGGGCGCCTTGGCTGGCATCCACATTTCTGCCTATTCACAGTGGACCTGGAACCCTGCGGGTCTGGGACCGCCCTGCTCGCCTGTGTTTGGGAATTCCCAATACCTTCTGTGCCTTGGCTCCGAGGTCCTTCCTGGTGACTTCCTTTTTTTTTTTTTTTTTTTTTAAGATTTTATTTATTTACCTGACAGAGATCACAAGTAGGCAGGGAGGCAGGCAGAGAGAGAGGAGGAAGCAGGCTCTCCGTGGAGCAGAGAGCCTGATGCAGTGCTCGATCCCAGGACCCTGAGATCCTGACCTGAGCCGAATGCAGAGGCTTAACCCACTGAGCCACCCAGGCCCCCCCCCCCTTTTTTTTTTTAAAGATTTTATCTATTTGACAGAGATGACAAGTAGGCAGAGAGGCAGGCAGAGAGAGAGAGGAGGAAGTACGCTCCCGGCCGAGCAGAGAGCCCGATGCGGGGCTCGATCCTGACCTTAGCCGAAGGCAGAGGCTTAAGCCACTGAACCACCCAGGCGCCCCTTCTGATGGCTTCCTAAAGACTGTCTTAGCCTTGTACTTTGCTGATGAAGGTTTCTCAGTCTGTTTCTTCGTGGTGTAATCATTGGTTTTAGCTTTAAAGTCCTATGTAGTCAAAGTGGGGTTGATACTATCTTTTTTTTAAGATTATTTATTCATTTATTTGAGAGAGACACATAACAAAAGAGGGAACACAAGCAGGGGGAGTGGGACAGGGAAAAGCAGGCTCCCCGCTGAGCAGGGGCTCAAGCCCAAAGCCCAGGGCCCTGGAATCAGGACCTGAGCCGAAGGCAGACACTTAACGACTGAGCCACCCAGGCGCCTCTTAAGTTTACATTTTTGAAGAAGTTTAATCTTATGGAAGTATTTTATACTGTCATGAAGTAAAATTTTAAGTGTATCATTTGCAACCAGTATGCCCCCCTCTCAAAAAAAATCCCAGCTAGTCATCCCTGCGTCCAAATCCTTCATGCTGACGAGTCACCCCTACCCCCTACCCCAGCCCCACGTGTCCTCCTGCACACTCCAGCTAAGTGTTACAATTAGTTTGTAAGATCTGCTTCCCCAACAAAAAGCCTATTGGCGTCTTGGTCAGTCGTGCTTTGAAGAAAGAGCGGTAGCGCACCTCACCGCACGGTGCCGCCCACCACCTCCTGATTCAGAAATCGGACGTGGAGTGCTGGGGGACACAGCTGTGCAAAGTGTCTGACTCGGGTCCTGACCTCAGGCCCCATGAGGAGTCGGCTTGAGATGCTGCCTGCCCCGCCCCTAAAATAAATAAATGTAAAATCAGAAAGAAATTAGTCACAGATTCAGTTGTGTGCAGCCCAAAGAAACTGCTCGCTGGAAGGATGGGGGTCCGCGTGCCGTGGCGGAGGCTGACGGCTGCACCAGAGCTGTGCTGTTTGGAGGTCTTGTTGGGTGTTGGTGTCCCCAGACTCCACCCCATGCTCAAGCTGGCAGGGCAGGGGAGGGGAGGGCTGCCGCCTCCATCCGCAGCTGTGCCCAGTCACGGTGGGACGGCAGAGCAGAGAAAGCCGCCTGAGCCGGGAGGCCCTGCTCCTGCGGGGACTCAGTGCCCTTCCGTTCCTCCCCAGGCTGGAGCAGGGAGGCAGACGCCCTGCGGGCTCCCCGCGTGCGCACGGCCTTCACCGCGGAGCAGGTCAGCACCCTGGAGAGCACCTTCCAGCGCCGCCGCTACCTGGGCCCCGCGGAGCGCCGGAGGCTAGCCCGGGACATGCGGCTCTCGGAGGTCCAGGTGAGGGGCCGGCCGGGCTGGGCCGGTGTCCGGGAGTTGCGGCGGCCGTCGCCCCTGCTCTGATCGCGTTTTTCCCACAGATAAAAACCTGGTTTCAGAATCGCCGCATGAAACACAAGCGCCAGCTGCAGGACTCCCGGCTGAGCGGCCCCCTCCCGGGAGCGCTCTGCCCGCCGGTGCCACTCTGCCCGCCCCCCTCCGCCCTCGGCAGTGGCTTGCAGCTTCTGTGCCCTTGGGCATCCCCGCTGGGGCCTCCCGCTCCGACACAGCCCCCTGGCTCCATCTGGGATCCCTGCCAAGCGGAGCAAGCCTCCCGGACCTTGGCGTGGGCCCCGCACAGCAGGCAGCCTCTGATGCTCTGCCTCCCGGAGCCTGGGGGCCAGGCGCACACGCTGGGCCCAGCCCTGTCCAGGGGACCCTGGGACCAGTGTGCCCTGCCCCAGACCGGGGATGCCTTTTGAGGAAGTGTGATAAGCCAGAGGCCTGGGCTGGAGCGGGAGCTGCCCCACCAGAGCAGGTGCGTGCAGAGCGGCGCCCGGCATCTCCCAGGAGAGCCGTCCACCATCTGTTTCCATCACAGCAACGCCGGGTGTGAGCTGGGTGCCCATCCGCAGGCGGGACCTGGAGCCCCGACCCACCGTAAGGTTCCAGAGGGTTACAGTTGAAGACATTCACTGAATACTACTCCAGGCTTAGTTTAAGAATGAAGTGAAGTGGTCCGTCAACAAAATCAAAAGCCGGAAGTGAACTTGATGAGTGTTGGGTTTCTAGCGCAGGATCGAATGGTAATTTATTCATTATAAAGTGTTGGGAAAATAAAGATTCAGGGGTCCCTAGCTGGGTGGAGCAGGAGCGCAACTCTGGATCTCGGGGTTGTGAGTTCAAGCCCTGTGTTGGGCGTAGAGCTTAAAAATAAAATCTTAAAAAGTAAGATGGAGACTTTCTTGGGTTGTATGCTTATAAGCTTTGCGTGGAAACCATGAGGGATCAGAGGAAGTGAAGTGTTTGTTTTTATCACCTTGGGGTTTGAGTTCCATGTTAACAGTGACCCCAAAGCTGGAACCAGGGAGGAATGCAGAATGCCTGCCCACTGCTGCTGGAGAAGCCAGTGGGGTTGCGACCTCTGCCGTGTCTTCAGAGCCCGTGCAAGCTGGCCACAATGCTGCGTGCTTCTCGTGGCCTTCTGCTTTTTCTGTTGGCCAGAAAAACGTGGGGAGCCGGCATCCAAACCTGTGTACGACCTGGCTCGAGGGCTCAGCCTCTCACCAGTCCCTCTGGCCGGGCTGTCCTGGGCTCCTGGGTACCTGCCAGGAAGAAGGCTGCCACGGGACACGGACAGCTGCTCTGCCCAGCTCCAGCAGCAGGAGTCTGGGCCTCCGAACAGACCTGTCCAGGGGCAGCAAAGCCACAGGCCCGTTAGAGGCCACAGCCTCAGCCCTCTTGCGGGGACGGCCGCTAGGCTATCACTTGCGGTTCCTTTGCCGTCCTGTCAGGCCTTTTCCTGAGGATTTCTTGGGGAGTGAGGGTTTGCTTCAACACACTGTCAAGCTTTGTGTGTTTTCATCTTTGGTTCAAAACCCCCTAACTGGATTCTTCCTTTCTACACCCCTAAAAACTCAAGCATCTAGTTACCTTCTACTTCCAAGTTGCCCAGTGTTTCCAAGGGAAGCTGAGAGTCACAGTGCCTTGCGTTTCCTGTGTCCTCTGTCTGGTGTGACCGGGGCATCTGTGCTGTCTCCTCTGCTCCCAGGACCCACTCACCCTGCATTGGGGCATCACATGTCTGGAATATCCACTCGCTGCTGGGCAGAGGACGCCCCTTCACCTGGTCTCCCTCTATAACCCAAGTGGCCTTCACGGCCAGCAGTCACCTTCGGGCTCGGGGATGGGACTGACTGGTGGGTCCAGGCTTCCTAAGCCCCTCCCCACGCTGCTTGGACCACTGTAGGACACCGGGTCCCCCTCAGCTGTGACCAGCACAGGAGAGCTGGCTTCACCCTCTGGCTCAGCACCGAAGGAAGCACATGTGAAAACAGTCTTGCCAAAAACCTAAATTCCAGTTTACAGAAAATAGGGACTTCACCATGGACCCCAGCTGGGGCTCCTCTGAAGTCACTTGTCAGGGGTCAGGGAGCCGAGGCAGTGGTGGCGACCTCTGGCTGAACCACGGGAAAGCAGTAGGATTCCCCGCAGGGTCTCACCATGGGTCGGGTGGCAGTCAGTGGACACGAAGCCTGTGTCCTCGAGCACTTCTCTAAAACCACAGCAAGTGGCCGCTGGGGTCGCTGGGGTGCTGGCTGCACTAGAGGCTGTCCAGGCGGGACACGGCAGGCCCCAGGCAGTGACCCCCACCCCACCACCCTGCTAGCAGAGGCTGTCTGCTGCCCCCCACCCCACTCTGGGGTGTCTGTGGGGACCCTGCACTGCCCCAAGGGTGAAAACGCACACCTCTTATTCTCTGCACACGTTCTACTCTGAGTACTCAGGGCGAGAAGGAGGGCTGTCCCTGGGACCCCATCATTGCCCAGCAGCCACAGTTGTGAGAGGATGACCTCCATGGCAGTGGCCCAGCCCCGTAGGGCCCTCAATCCCAGCCGAGGCAGCTCTCTGCAGGTCATAAGGCAGCAGCCCACCCAGATCCAAGTGGTCGGTCGACAGGGACACCCCCACCAACTCCGCAGCGCTGGTGTGAGGCCTGTGACCACAGTCAGCCCAGAACCCTGGGAAAGCCACAGCCGTGCTGAGGGATGGCCCTCCCGGACCCTGGAGCCAGGCCCTGTCCACCATGTCCACAGGGAGCGCTGCTGGGGTACCTGCTTTCTTGGAGCACTCTAAAGGGTCGCGCTGGGAGCCCTCCCCGCAGCCCCACCGGGACAAAGCACTAGGAGGGGCTCCGGGGACTGCCCCACCCTGCTGCCACCCAGCCTGTCCCTTCCCCTCCTCCCAGAGGCTACGGGCTGGGAGGGAGGAATGATCAAATGAGATTAGGGGACAGGCCAGCTGATAAAGGGGGCCTGTAATTGCTCCCGTTGCTGGGCCGATTAGCCGACAAAGGCCCACGATGGTTGTGGAAGCGCTCGGTTCCTGAGGGCTTCGGTCCAATTCTCTACACCAGGAAGTTAAGACCACAGGCTCCTGGGTCAAGGGGCCCCCACCCTGACCCGCAGGGGCTGTGGTGGATTCCCGGCCCACCCAGCCCACCCTCTGCTCCCAGGCACCCTGGGGACACCCGCCCGAGGTGGCGGGGCCCTGCTGCCGCTCAGGCCCGCACCCACCCAGAGCCAAGTCAGCCGCTCACGTCCATGTCCAGATATTTCCTACTAAGTTCCTCCGAGACCGAGATGGTTCCTGTGCGACCGCCCCCCCCACACGCACTGGCGGTGAGAGGAGGCCATCCTGGGCAGCTGCGATTTGAGCTCTGGCGCTCAAACATGATCACACCTGAGTTCATGTGAAGTCAGCTTTATTGACATTTCTGATCAGAAAATGAACTCACACTCACCATTACAAGGAGCAGAAATCGCCATGACCCGGACCCCACGGCACCCTCTGCGAGCTGCCCGCCGCCTGCCCCAGCCTCCCGCCCACGGAAGCCACCCTCGTGGGGCTCCCGCCCCCCGTCCTGCTCCTACAGCTTCTGGGACTCTCTCAGGGGCACGCCGGGCCCTGGGGGCAAAGATCAGCCACGGTGGCCCCTCGCAGACACACAAAATCCTGTGCTCCCGCCGGTGGGCCTGCGGAGGGACGCAGGGCCTTGGGTGCACGGGCTTGGGAGCGGCTGGGTGGTGAGGAGGACCTCGTTGCCCCATTTTCCCATGCCTACACCTCTTCAGGCCGGACCCGCAAAGAAGTATATGCATAGGAAAAAGGAACAGCGAGCAGCTTCCGCAGTCCGGGTCCTGGGCGAGGGTTCCTGTGAGCAGAGGCCGCGGAGGTTGGCGAGGAGCAGGGAGGCCGCGGGTCCCCAGTTGTCGGCGCCGACGCGGAGCCTGGGAGCACGGACGAGACCCTGTCTGCTGCTGCGGCTGGAGCTCTGCCTCTGCCGGCTGGTCTGCCCCATTTATGGGAGGCCGCGACCTTGGGGCCCACAGAGCAGCGGCAGTCACATGTGGTTCCAGGCTGAGCCGTGCCAAGGAACCTGTCCACCCCCGCGCCTGTGAGATTGGGGCACAAAGACCTGCTCGGAGCAGAGCGCTGAGCCTGGGCCCAGCGGGTGGGCGGTGGGGCCATGGGGCCTGGGGGCTGCCTCCTGGGACCTGGGACCAGGCCAGCCCTGGCCAGCCTTATCTACCAACATGCCACTCTGCTTGTGCCAGCCGGGAAAATGCACATTTCTTCCCTGTCCCTCCCTTCCCTGCGGTGCCCCTGAGCACTGAGTCCCAGACCCCCATCCTGGGGAGACCCCCCAGGAGTCCTGAGGATGGGGGAGGGGACAGCTCTCCCTGGGCCCCACACACCCAGGGGACAGCTAAGCAGGGACCCAAGACCACCACACAGAGACACACACACCTGTGGCACACATACCACGGGAGCCCAGGGGACAGCCCAGGGGCCAGCCCAGGGGCCGGACAGACCACACCCCCCCAGGGAACCCAGGACACAGGTGGGGACCTGGAGACCCTTCTGGTTCAGACTTGGCCCCCACCTCTGTTGCTCCTCACAGTCACAAAGTTCTGTGAACAGAGCTGTGGACACTCCCCCATGGGCAGGAGCTGAGCTGCCCTGCACGCCCTCTGCAGCCTGGGAGCACCTGCCTAGGAGAGGGGTGGTGTTTGTGCGCGCACACGCGTGCACACAGACCCTCAGCGGGAACCCCCACTCCCACCTGTAGAGCTGGGCTTGGTGCTGCTGTTCTGAATCTCTCACCAGGTTGGCTCTAGGTGGGCAGGGGCGGGACCCTGAGGGGCACAGGTGGACACGTGAGGGAAGCCGGGAGAGAGCACGGCCATCAGCCTCCCATGGACACGCATGGGCCCTGCTGCCTGGTCCAGGCCCTCCTGACACGCACCGCTGTGGCCTGGGCCTCTCTTTGGAACAGAGCATTTGCGGGCCTAGGGCCTCGGTGGGGGACAGTCCCCGGCGCTGGCCTCAGGCCTCTGCCTCGGGCTGATGGTCACAGAGGCACAGAGCCCGGCAGCTGTGGCGTCAGGGACAGACGCTCCCGAGCCCATGATGGAGGCACAGCAGGGTGTCGGCCCCCATCCTCTGCCAGAAGGAGCGCCCCAAACCCTCGCTCGTGCCAGAGAGGGAGCCGCCTGAGTTTCGGGTTGACGGAGGGACCCCCTGCGCCCCAGTCCTCCAGCCCAGTGGTGGCTCAGGGGCCATCCCTTCTGGCCACTGTTCTCTGTAACTCCACAGGGGTCCCGCTTGGGTCTGGGGTCAGACTCCCCCTCAATCCTGCCCCGGAGCTTCTGGGAAACACACTGTCACCCTTGACCCTGAGCTCCTGGAGGTGGGTCTT